CGCTCCCCGCGCCCTCTGCGGCGCTCCCCCCCCGCACCTCCACGGCTCGACCACCACCGTAACGCACCGGCTGCGCCTGGCAGACAGCCTGGCTTTCTCCCCAGGGATTCCCACGACGGGGAACCTCCACGTCACGCCCTCGGCCGGCAGAGAAGCCTGAAACGCGGCCAGACGGCTGCTGTGCTTTTTCCTGGCTCCCAGCAGGGCCGGTGCATACGCAGGCCGTGCGCCTTGGCAGGGACGGAGGGGACAGGCAGTTCTTGTTCTCGCTCCCCCGGCCGTGCCAGCCGTGTGGTCACCGGCTCCCGGCCACCTCCTCTTGGCCAGTGCTGCGGCACTGGGAGATGGGGAGGGACGGGGAGGGCAGCAAACCCTTTAGTTCTCATTCCTGGCATTGCTGTAATATTTCTAACAAACCAGATATTTTTCTTTTGTTATTGCAATTATAACTCCCTTGCAATCGCAGTTTTATCTTTTCTGGGTATTTGGGGCTTCTAAATGCTCACAGTAGCAGTCGGTACTCTGCTGAGGCTCAGGGCGAGGCCAAATTCAGAACTCACAGAATCACAGAATCATGGGATGGTTTGGGTTGGAAGGGACCCTTAGAGGCCATCCAGTCCAACCCCTCTGCCATGAGCAGGGACATCTTCCACCAGCCCAGGCTGCTCAGAGCCCCGTCCAACCTGGCCTTGGATGTTTCCAGGGACGGGGCATTGACCACCTCCCTGGACAACCCATTCCAGGGTTTCACCACCCTCATGGTAAAAAACTTTTTCCTTACACTCCGTCTGTATCTACCCTCTGTAACAAAACTCCTGCTTTAGTCTGGTTTAATCCACGTTTTAGCGTGGGTGAGGTGACACTGAACACCCGTGGAGCAGCTGGCCAGGCAGGACTCGGTTCCCGGGCGTGGAGATGGCGGGATGGCGGAGGAGAAATGGAGCCCGGCCCATCCTCCCTCCTCACCCGCCCGCCAGCGAGGGGCTGCGGGGAGGCACGACCGAGGGCTCGAGGGCTTCACCCGCAACGCCCGTGGGGTGCTCCCTGCCCACGGACACCTCCGAGGCACAGGCTCCCCCTGCCCTGCAGCCATGCCAGGACTGGTCCAGGCTGCTGCCCTGTCCGTCTGTCCGTCCGCAGGCAGCTCCCTGCCCGTCTGTCCGTCCTCAGGCAGCTCCCTGTCCG